CCCCAAAACCCCAAAACCCCAAAACCCCAAAACCCCTAATCTCTTTCCAAAAATTGAATTATTCAAATAATATTATGCCTAACTTGTTCAGAGGGGTATAGTGCACTTAGAGAGCTTTAGGACCAAGAATCGGAACGCCATATAGCTGTGAGTTCTGAGCTTTACTCATGATTCTAAAGTATTTCATAGTTTTTCTAAAATTCTTGGACTTTGTCCTACTTTCTTTAATAGTATCCTTAAGGCCATTTAGTTTCTTCTTCAATAAAGGAATCTGATTGAGTCCAACTCCGTAGATAAATGCTTTATGAAGACTACTATAGGTATGCTTCTCATCCCCACTGTTCAAAGTTTGGATAAACTGAGGTAATCTTTGGGAAGCCTTAACTCTATGGCTCCTGTTTCTCTTTTTCTTTGCTTCAGTATGCCCTCGAGGGAGGGCTAGTCTTTCAAGTCTTTCCTTGTCAAAACTCAGCTTATGAGAATTATTTAATTCATCACGGATCATTGAGTTATTAGCGGTCATCCTTGAAGCAGTTAGATTATGCTTTCTATTTGAATTTTGAGTAGAAAAATTTGATTTTGTACGATTCATTTCACTTATCAGTTTAATAGACTTGTAGTTATTTTCTGATCCCTAGAGAATTAGTCAAAAGATACATGAATTCTTGCATTTCTTCTTATGTTTGGGAGGAGAATTTTCGAAGCTTTCGTCAACTTGTAATATTCCTTCAACTGCAAAATCATGATTCTTCTTAACCATCATTTTACTGGGAATAGCAGAGCTTCTTCTAGAGTTTCTTTGACCCACAGAAATACAGGGACTATTTGAGGCTGTTCTTTAGTAGATTCCCTGCTCTGATCTTTGCAAAGGCTCTTTTCTTAATCTTAAGTGTTGAATTCATACTATTCAGCCTCAGTCTTGAAGGATTTCCATTATTCTGCTGATTTGATTGCTTTCGCCTCTTAGAGGTGAATTCAAAATCTTTCTGAATCCCTGGTCTCTAGGTCATAATGAGTTTTAAAATTACTCGCTGGTAATCTTTGATCTTTTCCACAAGCCCATGAAGCTTATACCAGTACGGAGTCTTGCTACTTGTTCTTCTAGACATAATCCTTCTAACATTTTCAAGATTGTTCTTTCTCTACAGGTTATCCGAAAGTGTACTTTTAGGTCAAGTTCTTCCATGGTGGTCAGAGCTATATGTTTGTAAAGCCGCCCATAAAAACAACAAACTTGACAAACACTTCACATTTATCTATCAAACCCTTCAGTCCCTTAAAACAGCTTCTTTTCTAAACTTCAGCAGCCAAATTCCTCCCAAAACCCAACTTAAAAATTCTAAAAGCTCTAAAAATTGCTTTAAAGCCCCAAAACTAACCTGGATCGAATACTATTTATTTCAATAATTTTATTATTTTTGGGGTTTTGGGGTTTTGGGGTTTTGGGGTTTTGGGG